GGCTCCCGGGCGCCCGCCTCGCCCCGCTGGGAGCTGCAGCCGGCACTTTCCTCGCCGCAGGCTCGGCCGCCCGCGCAAGCAGCTCCGTTTGCTCCACGGTTGCACTTTGTTTGGGTGCAGAGCAGCTGCTTAGCCAGACTGGAGTGCCCGCAGTACAACAGCTCGGCCCCCGCACTGTCCGTACCCCTCTTCACAGCAGCGCTTGTCTCAGAAATACAACCAGCCAGGATGCCAGCGGCCCTACCTCATAGACTCCCTAACTGACAACAGAGCAGCCTGTTTGATGGGACCCTCACAGGTGTCTTGGGCCATAAAAACAACTGATTTTGCCCAGGTGGATAAGCGGCACCCACAGTTCATAGCATTTGTTCTGGACACAAGTGATAATTGTCACACATCTGTGAAGCTGCCATCACAAGATAGCTTGGGTTCCACCACCCTGCAACAGCCTCTGTGTCTGCAATGTTACAGCTGCTGCTCTGTAGCCTGAAACTGCAGACATCCATTACTTAATTTGTTACTACATAACTATTTGTTTGGGTTCGGGAGGTGTAAAATATCAAAATACAATTTAGACAATAACTTTTTTTTTAACTGAATTTTTTTTTTTTTTTTGGTTAAGAAGATTCAATGTTTCCTATTAGATCCCAAACCTTTACTTTGTASTACCTCTAATAAACATGGAAACTGAAAGTAGCTAAGATTCTGTCAGTAGTTCTGACTCRGAATAAAAGGCTAGTATTTATGAACACACTTCGCCATTAAACTTTGAGTCTCTATTAAAAAGAAAAGAAGAAAAAAAACTTTACTSTTTTGTAACTGTGGAAGATAAAAACTAATTTTCCCACTAGAAGGAAAAAAAGGACTATAGCTTTCAATGCTTAAAAAAAGACCTGGTTTTAATTACRCTTACAAAGCACATTTGTGGGTGGATACTCTGTAAAGCATGAATTAATATTTCTTTTCACCTACCTCCAATTAACTGAGCCATTTATGTACACAAACACAGAGAATAAGAAGTATAATAGAACACTGTATTTAATTAAACATGATATACACTGCTGCACATTGGACTCTTTGCAAATCAAAAGCTTGATGACATACATAAAATTATATATAAAGTTGCTGAAACCGACTTTGGACCTACTTTAAAGAGGGGCTGGCATATTATTGGCAAGATAAAAATCCCTTATCAGCACTTAGTGTACCAAACACAGGACAGTTTTAAGAAAACATATCAGTTTTCTTTCACAATGACCTCATATTTTTTTTGCATCTCTTAATAAAGTTCCATGAGTTTTGTCTGCAGAAATCATGCAGCACCATTTCTATGATTCATTTACTTGCTCTATTGTTTTATTGGTAAATAGAATCAAGAGATCCTATTATATATATCACGCATATTTCTTATGCATATCATGCATAATTCTTATGGCAATTGTTATATGCAATAATTCCATGCACTTCAAGAGCACAAAGCTACAGCTAGGTACAGCTAGCTAGAATAATCAAAAGCTATTCTATAACTACTATTAAATACAGGTTTGTGCATATCAGTGGCAATGGATTTTTTTTATATACAGCTTTTTATAAATTCATGATCTATTATTTTAAAGTTTGAGKGCATAAATAATCATCTGCACTCACAGATAACAGGATTTGACAGAAAATTCGGGACAATTAAACAGCAAGAACCCCATTATTCCCTTTAAAAGTTTGTCAAGGGGATATTTTTTACTTGACTGACAGTCTTTTCTTCTGTCAACTCYTTCCAGCTTCTTGACTCTTTCAGCAAATAACTGTAGCATCTAAAAAAAAAAAAAAAAGCACTTTGTCAGTTTTCCCACTTGAATTCTCCCCTGAAATTCTCTTCCACTTTCTGTCCTAAACACCATTTTTATCTCCAGTTCCACCTCATAACTATGAAGCTCTATGAACCTTCACTGTGAAGCTTTGAAGTATGAGGAAAAAAATGTTAGCCACATGGAAGAGGAAAATGCTTGCATTCCAAGGTACTCTGCTTCCCTTCTCAGCATTATGCGATATTTATTAATGTAACAGCATTACACAAGATATTTATTGCTCTTGTCAGCATTGCTTGGTATATCCCCCCTTCCATCCCCTCACAGTTTTAYCTCCTCCATGAATCAAGGTTCTGATCCTCCTTTCAACCTTCAACAAAGTTTTTTTTTGTTTTTTTTTTTYCCCTCTTCCAAGCCCTATGTATATCTGAAGTTAATCTCCTGTTGACAGGAGCAAGAATCATACAATACAGACAGCAGCTGCTCCCATTGCTTGTCACCCAGCTCACCACCTCCAACAGTCAGTAGTTTGTGATAGAGAGCAGTAGCCACAGCCCAACATCCTCTTAGTGGTCAGCAAGTCTTCTCCCTTCCAATGCACTCAAAAGCACAGTATATTTTGCTGTTTTCCTAATCGGTAGCTTTGAGGTAGGATACAAATACTTATTTTCAACATTTTAGATAGGATACAAATACTTATTTTCAACATTTTACTCCAACTGATATGTTCATTTATGTCATTACCTGAAGAACTTTGTTCCCAAATCTCTTGAATAGCTCAGGATTTGCTAGAAACACCTTGCAGTAAAGCTCCCTAAGCATTTGCTAAGCACTTCCTACCGCTTCACAATAAAGCCTTTTCTAGAAGCTATTTCTGCAGAATATAACTTGCTAGGATACAAATATAAAGAGGGAGACCAGAGGCAGTATCACGTTTCAACAGGGGAAGTCTCTACCATGAAGCCTTATTCATTATGCTTACTTAGGGAGTGAAGTAAGTGCAGTCTCGGAGTCAAAAGTTTGATTGCTGGTTTTTTTTTTCCCTGTGTTTGTTTTTGTGTGTGCGTGTGTTTGCCCATGGAACAGCTAGTTAAAAAAAAAAAGTGTGGGGGGGGATATTTCCCACACTTAATTCTAAAGTAAAGCCAAGTTTTCATCCACAGCTGCGCTGCTTACTGTTGTTCAGCAAAATCCAACTGGTTCCACAACCTCACCAACCGCGTGAAGTGGGATCTCCCTTCACGTACCTGACTGTCACCTTCACCTGGACATCTCTCTGGCTCTTGCGTGACTGAGCTCGATTACTCACCAGGGCGCGCAAGAGCCGGGTACACGGTGACTCGAGAAGGCCCCGGAGGAGCCGGCCCGGTCACACAGGCCCCCAATAGATCGAGGCCTCCGAGCCCCTCGACCGTTACGCGGGCGCGGAAGTTCCACAGAGCCGCCTAACGGCCYATCCCTTCCCGCCCCACGCGCCGCAGCTCTCGCGAGATCAGCCCGCTCCCGGCATCCATTTCGCGGCTGGGGCGACGGGGGCCGGCTCTGAGGGAAGATGAAGGCGGCGGCCATGTTGGGAGCTTTGGGGTGCTGGTGGTGTTGCCTCTGCTGAGGGGGCCTGCGCGGAGGGAGCCGCCCCGGGGATCGGCGCAGCGTCGGGCGCGATCCGAGTGGAGCAGAGCGCCTGCTGCCGCTTCGAGTCGGGCTCGCGTGGGCGCCTGTGCCCGGCTCTAGGAGCGCTCGGCAGGGGAGGGGGTCCCTGACCGAGGAGCCAGCGCCATGAGCGGGGGGACGCCCTACATCGGGAGCAAGATCAGCCTCATCTCCAAGGCCGAGATCCGCTATGAGGGGATCCTGTACACCATCGACACGGAGAACTCCACCGTGGCGCTGGCCAAGGGTAAGGAGCAGGCGGGGAGAGGCCTGCGGCCTAGGCGGCCCGGCTGCGCCCCGGGGAGGGGAGCGGAGCGGCGCTGGGGCTCCTCCGGCACCGAGCAGGAGCCCGAAGCTGCGGCCACCCCGCCACCCACCCGAGTGCGATAGGGAGCCTGCGGGCTGCAAGGGCTCCGGCGGTGCCATAAGGGGCAGAGGGTGAGCCCAGGGGGGAGCCGCGGCCCGGCTGGACGCGCAGGGGACCGGGAGTGCCGAGCGCGGAGCTCCGGGGAACTCGGAAAGCCCCGAGGGCCGAGGAGCGGCTGCCGCAGTGAGAAGCAGCCGAGCGCGTTACTTGGAGTAGGCTGGAGGAGGCGGGAGCTGCTGAAAAGGGCCCTGGACAGAGTTAAAGTCTGAAGAACTTAGTGGGGACGGGGGAGCTGTTGGTGAGCGAGAGTGTCAGGAAAAGCGAGAGGAGGAGATGGGGAAGAAGATCCGTCTGTATTGGAAGAATTCCTAGCGTTGAGGCTGTAAGTAGTGTGGGGTTGCGTAGCAGGAAACTGCTGCTGCCTCCTGGGACGGAGAGAGACTAGATTTTCCAAAGGAGAGCATGCAAATCATCAAGATTATCAGTAAATGAAGCTGTTTTTGAGCTCTTCTTTACCCTGRTAGATACAGGGCACTGTATAAATCAAAATTGAGGACAAACTGCTGTGCGAGAGAATTCCTTGCTGTGCAAGGAATGTGMGTGTTGGAAAGGTGGGAGGATGTGTTCGTAGAGCAAGAGAATCAGAGATAGGAGTAAAAAAGAGAGGGTGTTTGAAACAGGATACGTCAAGGACTATACTGTTTCTTACACTTTCAAATGCATTCTCAGCACAGGTACRTTAACTGTAGCAGTGAATATGTAATGTTCTTATCAAAAATGAAGGCAAAATTTTTAATATGTTGTTTATAATTGACTCTGCAAAACTCTCTTGTATTTTGATTTACAGATTTTGCCCTTGTAAAACTTTCTAAATAATCTAAATACATATATAAAATCTGAGAKGGCTTAATTTGACTGTTAGGTAAGGAGAAAAATTGAATGTAAATTAAATAATGAGACGGAGAATATTCTAAATCTCTGTTCCTGTTTGTTATAGTAACTTAGTTTTTAAGCTAGTGAAGGATAACATAATGAGGGTATTACATTTTACATAGTCGGTATACTTAGTAATAGCTCATCTGTTGATTTAAGGCTATGTAGCAGTTTGCTTTCATCTCTCATTGGTCTTTGTGGAAGTTCTTGTTTGTTTGCCCTGTCACTTTATGCCCCCTCCCATAATGCATGTATGAGTGTGTGTGTGTGTGTGTTACTGTTTTAGAAATAAAATGCTTTTCTTTCTCTAAGTTTTTGTACCTTTTGTACCCCTTGTGCTTTGAAATAGGTGCTTTGCTTTGTACATATTTTATGCTTTTATAGTAGGTTCAGTCCCAGGCTTGTGTTAAGTCATTTACAGGATGTTTAGCTTTCATGATTTGAACGTTAACTTTTTATTTGATCACAGGTGTTTCTTTATATGAGAAAAAGATAAAACACAATGATAAAAAATGTTTAGGAATTCCAACTTAATGTTGTTCTGATTTTCACACAAAAGCAGTTACAAGAATCCCATCCTTAAGGAGCTTGTAATAGCCTTTAATTTTGACAGATTTAGTCCTGATCAAGCCAGTCATGCRTGACTCCTCGGGAGCGGTTAAGTCATGCTGTTGCATACCTTCCAAGTGTGGATATTAAAGACAGATCAAACTACGATTATAAGTCTCAACTGCACACTTCTCAAAACTCTCATTCAAAATGTAATTCTAAACTATTAAGTTGGTTTAATAAAAGTTACGTGAGTTAGSTCAGGAATGTACGTTTTGTAACGTAGTGCTGTGAGTCAGAAGGAAGTAGATGAGTATTTSTAGGCCACTCAACCAAAAATCTTGATGTTAAAAAAAGCCATCTAAAACGATTTACTGCTTCCATTTTGCTCTCTTGTATGGATGGCTGATCACTCTTATCCAGGTTGAGGGTAAGTCAGAGTTCCTCACTTAGTAATGTGAAATTATTTGTGAGGTGAAAGGCAAAGTAGAGGCAGACTGTGACATTGAATAACTGCAGATTTGTTTAGCAGTTGAGCTTCAATAGGTTAACCTGAGATTAAGCTGATCAGGATGTAAATGTGGGGTACTTTTCCTGGAGCTGTATTGTATTATTTGGACCATTATGTTTGATAGATATTAGTGAACTAGATTTCATGAATTTATCTTAACAAGTGATTTAATTTCTGATATTTTTGATCATCTGTGATGGTATTATCTGTGCTATTACTACCTGATGATGCATGGGAGAGTTTTGTTTGTTTGTTTTGGGGKTTTTTTTGCACGTATTTAAACTGTCTTAATTTGGTGAAAGATTAAGAAATGAAGATTGAACAGAGTTAAAATCTTGTGAAGACCCAAGTACTTCCTATAGCTAAGGAGTAGGAATAGCAGAGGGAAGGGGTATTTTTTTTCTTTTTTTTTTGTTTAGAAGTTATTTTTCAGGGTCAATTATGTGACACGCACAGTTTGTGTTCTCTGACAGGGCTTCATGGTTAGGACATGTGTGCCTAAGCCAACCTGTGCATAGTATGTCCTACCAGAACAATTTATTACATGAAATCTTACACTTGGCTACTTACCCCTTATCTCCTTGTTAAGCCACCCTCACAAAAAGCAGGGAAATGCAGGTTGAATTAATTGTTCTGAAAGTAACAACCCACTGTTAGATGTTACCTTCATATCATGGCAAAAGAATGAATAGGGTGTGTTATAGGGAAAGGGTTTGCATGTTATAGGGAAAGAGAGTTTGAGGTTTTTGGAGAGATCTGGCAATTAAACAYGAATGGTTCATAATGGTGGCCTTATTTTGGTCACAACGTCTCCCATGGGTGCTGTAAGAGTAAGGAAAGACTAGTGTGATGTATACGAAGTAAGCCTGAAGAGTTGTGTCAGTGCTGTGTGCAGAGACCTGATTGAAGTGCGTATGTGCAGTCACAGAATGGTTAAGGTTGGAAGAGAGTGCYAGAGATCATCTAGTCCAACCCCCCTGCTCAAGCAGGGACCCCTAGAGCACTKGACACAGAGTCACATCCAGGAAGGTTTTAAAGATTTCCAGAGAAGGACTCCACAGTCTCTCTGGATAGCCTGTTCCAATGCTGTAATTCACATTAAAGGGGAACAGAGTCATCWTTTTTGCTAGTAGAATACACAGTTTGGCTTTTGGTTATTACAGTATTTTTCATGCAACATCTGATTATTTCTGATAACTCATATGRAAGCTTACAATRCTRTTTATTTTCCTCAAGGATTATAGTAGTATACTATGTTATATAGTYTTATATTGTTATGTGCTATATAGTTGCACAGTATATCCGTTGAAGTCAGTCATATTAAATTAGTGGAACGATTTGGGCATAGAGTCACATACCARAATTTTATTAGACTCAAAACTGTAAATTACTTTCTAGACAGTTCGTTAAATGTATGTAATTATGCTGATAAAAATACTTGCTTTCAACATAAAATAGTTTCTGTTTCCTTCTTTGCAAGTCACTATGCCAATTTAGRTCATTTGAATAAAAATGTTTAAGTCAACAAAGTAGGATTAAATRGATTTACTGTAGTTCTGGTAACAGCTATATGATGGTGATGTTTTTCACATGCTTATTTTCATATCTTCGCACCCCTTTAGTGCTGTATATGAACCACTGCACCTTGTTCTGGAGGAGGGAGGTAGTCTGAGGAAATACCCCAAGAGGCAGAGCTGGATACAGCTCTAAGACTGCTGCTGCTCTAAATACATTTTCTTTTTGATATTCTGGCAAGTTAGTATTTCTGATCATGCAAAACTATGGYTAAAGTTGTTTCTTTCTAACATTCCTAATGTATTGATGACTTTTAATATTAGACTTTTTACTTTAATGGACTCAAAGCATGTTGAAATCCAAAATAAGCAGAGGAAGAATAAACTGTTGAGAGAGGCATCCTGTTGCAAAATATTAAAATAAATGTTTAAGTCATTGTTACACTGATATCTGAGGATCTGAGATAGTACTGTGCAAAAACATATAGTGCTTATCTTGGAAYTTAATCTAATTAAACCAACTTTACCTATTTTCTGAGATCCCTGCGCATGCTGTTCTGGTTCCTTTAAAGTGGTAGGAGATGATTGTTGCTTTTGGGTGAGGGAGGAAAAGACTGAACCCAATTTCAGGGTTCTGTAGGACAAGAATAAACAATTGTCTTGTTATGGACAAAATTCCCTCTCTCATTTTTCTCCTTCCTCCACTTGAAATTTGCAGYTAAACAAGTATTACCAAAACCGTAGTTTCAAGTGAGTCAGGGGAATA